TACTCGCGATACAGTCCGTGAAAGGACCCCAGCATGGGCCAGCTAGGTTGACTTCTCTCAGGGTACATAAACAGCACCCATCCAGCAAGCACAAGCCCAGGTTCAAAGCGATGGACAACGCGCCTGCCAAACCCAGGGAAATCGATCATCACCTTCAGAATGAGCTGGTCGACTTGATAGACATGTCAAGGCTTAATCTTCCTCTCCCATGTTTGGCTGCAAAGCTGGAAACCAAAGCGCTTTCAAGATTGGGAAACAGGGACGTCTCTAAATGAATAAAGAGGTGGCTATCACAAGTAATGAATTTGCCAGGTCAGGAAGGTTGGGCAAGTCCAGAAAGTTAGCAAGTGCAAGGCCATCTCATATGCATGATATGCCAAAATCGATGCCTTGCTTTTCGTGCTGAATCCGAGCTCTGGGGTGCCCGACCACCGAAAAGCCTTTCATGTAGAGAGGACGCCCTAGCTTCACCCACCTGACAAAACTTGACTCAATTTGTGATTCTGAAAAGCACCGACTCAGAGCATCTCCAGAAAACGGCTTCAGCCTTTTACAGAGCATCCTCAACATGCCCTTAAAGCAGCTGTTGGCAATTCATATGATTCTTAGCCATCACGGCCTGGTAAGAAATCTTGAATCCAAGAGCCAATGCCATTCGGAGATTGCATTGTCAGGGCTTGGGAGGGATCCGAGTCCAACCCGTGTGGACTGCATTGCAAATGCAGAGATTGCTAATCAACACATCACAGATTTGAAACTCGTCTTGCTCCCCATCCGACGGGTGCACAATGGTGCACATCTGATACTCAGCGAATGTTTCTTCAGGTCGCCCCAACAACCACTGAGTGGTCGCCACCAACCACCCCGGCTTCGGTCTCAACCAGCTCTTCACGTCTTCCGGTCTCAACCTCGACCCACAGGTGGGTCGACCCCATTCCAAGCCACGTCCAGGAACTGGTCAAGGGTGGCTCCAGACCTGAAAGACACCCAATGATTCTCCAGGTTAACCCAAGCGCGATCTTGGAGAAAGGGACCTAGAAATGTGGTCAAACGTCCCGTGTGTCAAGAGAGATCCGAGCTGCCAAATGCTATATTTGGGGAAGTGGAGATGCATTTTAATGAAACCGACTTTGCTAGGAGCAAGGACGCTACTAGGGGGTTCCTGGCCTTACTACTAGTAACAAGAAGCTACTAGGAGCAAAGGGCATCGCTACTAGGAGCAAGGACGCTACTATCAGTTTTCCTTCATCCGTGAATTTGTCGAATGAGTTGCAACCGACCATACACCCAATCATGAGTTGACCGCCTCATTTTGCCCAAGTAAGTCTATTCCCTGGTCAGTAGGCAATGTCCTAATTAGGCGTGGCATGAAGGCTGCTTGTGAACATGCAGAGATTGTGAACATGCTGTTGTGAAAGCCAGCTTCAGTGCCCGAGGCTGAAGCTATGTAGAAGCATCGCAAAAGGACCTTGCCTGCCGTCGTCAAGCCGTGCAATATTGAGAGATGAACTTAATGCACTGTAAAAGCAGCCATCTTATTACCCCCTTCTGTTCATAGCGCTGAGTCAAAAGAAAAATGCCGTGCCACTTGCAGGACTATTCAGCTGCGCTGGTGCGCCCGTGTCTTTGCTTTGCTCTTCCCAAAATTAATGGACCTTCTGGTACAAACATACAGATCCACAAATCATCAAGAGATATACACTCCTCTATATGGTTCGGGCATGTCTAGAATCATCATCACCAAGAGCATCCGATGTACACCTCATCCATGAAGTACTGCTGAAGTATGCCTATAGCAACCCGGCAACCTAGCTATCCTTTCTGCAACAAACATAGACACTGACATATACACACACATACACGTGCGGTTCTGTTACTTTGGTTTTGTCTTTTTGACTATGCTTGACATTCGAACCTACCTGGGCTCGGCTATTCCAGATGTATGGTGAGGATTGCCGGGAGCAGCTAGCCTGTGCTTCAGTTGCTTGGCCTGCGGCTGCCACAAGCAGCGCACCTGAAGTCGGGCGAAGCGTTGCCACGCGTCGAAGAAATGCAAAAAATGGTGATGCAAAAGAGAACTTGATCCCACGCACTGTCCTTTGCAAGTAGGATTTCTTACCAAAGACTTCACCCTGAAAAGGAAATGGATCAACATAGGCCATCATAGGCCGGCATGGTGATTCGCAGTTTTTGTATCTGGTAGCTCAGTTCGCAGCATTGATCTGGAAAGTGTCCTCGCCGCGAGATTGCAAACGGATGGATGTACAGTAAAAGGATCATGCCGGACTGTGGCCCGCAGAACCCAGGCCCACAGTCCTTCATCCCTGGCCCCAGAACACACATTCAGATTTTTTCCAGGTGAAGCATGACATGGCCTTTGTCTTTCCTGGAACAACGTCCCAGTAGCTGAGCGATCGTCACGACATACAGACCATGTCATGCAAGCTTGACGCCGAAAGCCCTGCGCAAACCTGAGCTAATGTGAGCTAATCTTGTTTTGATTAGGCTACTTCAAAGATCTCTGAAGCCATCACTGATTTAGGAAATGAAAGGACCGAAATCATGTTCCCTCTTATAAGCCAGGATCCATGAGTCTGATAGCTTCTTAGCCGTAGCCTCGCACAGGGCTCTCTATACGCGACAGAGACCTGGAAGAGCAAACGCGAAATCACCTGGCCATGAAATCACCTGTCGTTCTTGACGTCGTGTTCTTTCTCAGAGGAACCCTTGTGCTGGACACCAAAGCATCGCCCCCAGGTCGGTCAGCTCCTTGATGCTGAAGCAAACCGTTTCACAGGTGAGCTCCTGAGAGTCCAGCTGAAGCTGACCCAGCGGGAAAAGTGGGATGCGAAGGACAGATGTAGGTCTGGCTCAAACGCTCAAACCTCCAATTCGCCAAAGTCTGTATATAGGTCTGGCTAAACGCTTTCTCTTCTGGGTTGCTTTGTGCAAGTCCCCATGCCTTCCGGTAGAAGTGCCGCTCCTGGCATAAAGACTTCCATGTTTGTAACAAACAATGGTCTGCTGCTGGCCTAGTTTTTAAGATCCCAGCCTTCTTACATAAAACAGCAAGGTGTGAATCAAGACCCTTCTGTGGCACCTGCTCGAAAAACTCTCTGCTGGTTTAAAAGGGTCATACTGTGGCACAACTGGGGAACCAACAGAGTCGTGCTCACTTCATTTAACCAGCTATGGCTATATACTAGGAACAAAGGGCATCGCTACTAGGAGCAAGGGCGCTACTAGGGGCTCCTGGCCTTACTACTAGGAGCAAGAAGCTACTGGGAACGAAGCTCTTCGACACCTTCTCTTTGAAGAGCTCGCCCCACAAGGCACACCTGCGCCAAGCCAAAGACAAGGGCCACAGGTAACAGCCACAGTGGCAGACCAAACAAATGTGCGGCTGAACCCAAACTCCTTGGTCAATCCCATGCCATCAGACGGATTTGGGAGGCCCAATCGCTTCCCTCAGCTTGGACAACTTTCGACTTCAGCTTGGAAGGGAGGCATCGCTTTTTCGTCCATCCTTCATGATTGGATGGGGCGTCCCTTTTGGGGCCGCATCGCTTCCCTGGGTTTTTGCAAATTCTCAAGATTGGTTCACATTTTCTGCTCCACATTACCATGGGTTGCTCGCATGACTTAATGCTGGCATGGCTCAATGACTGGTCTTGTTATCAATTGATATCCAAAGATCCACAACTTTGGCCTCTTTTGTGAGCCCTTGTTGCGTTTCACTCAACCCATCACGCATCCAAGGTGCCTGTCTGATGGCTCATCCATCGCTGTGAAGACCTGCAGCTGAGTTCGATCTCCCACGCCGAACAGGTCGGAGTCTTCGACACGAAGAAAACACTGAGTTGTGAGAACTGAGAACAAGTCTTTTAGATGAGTCATATGGCTATATGATACATAACATATTGCACATGTGGTACATCATATACCATATATTCATTAGACTTACTGCAATATGATTATAACACTATATATATATATGTATATACATGTATACAACATCATAGAACATTCTACATCTCGATGCTGAAGAACTAGTCTGCCTCTCCGCCCACATGGCTAATCTCATAGCCTGGCACATGGCTGAGACGGTCTTCAGACCACGATCCGATAGAACCGGACCTCCAAAGTCGAACAGCCAAAGACGTGGTGAAGATTGTGCTTAGACCACTCCAAGCCTAGCGGAGTGTCCACAGGTCGAGATTTCACCAACCCATGCCAGTGGACCCGGCGGAATCGTCCCTGGAGACACACCCGTCAAAACGGCACTTCTTGGACAAAACAAGGGCCACAGCGCTCGTCGGCTTTTTTGGCGCACCAACGCCACAGCAACAAACTTGCCAGAGTGCACGTCGGGGCTGCATAGAACCTGCAGACATAACCATTGGTTCGCATGTGCTCAGGCGTGTCTTCAAACAGATATGTTCGGCATATTAGAGGATGGACCAACCTGCGGGAAGTTCCAGAGTCCAGCTGGGTATTCAAAAACGTACAGTAAGATACAGAGTAAGAGTAAGATACAGTAAGTATAAGCGTGTGTGTGTGTGTGTCCGCGAGTGAGCGAGCGAGCGCACGTGCGCACTGGCGCGCACTCCCTGCCAAAGCTTAACCACTAGATCTTCCTCTTTGTCCAAGCAACGTCAAGCGACAACCTTTTTCTCATTTTGGTTGGAGGCCATCGCTATTAGGGTGTCCTTGACTGAAAAGTTGCACCTTGAAAGGATGGATAGTCCACACTAAACAGAAGTCCAGCCTCAAGTGTCGTTGCAGCGCATGGCGGCGCATCCATATGGAACGCACCTTTTATGCGAACTCCACTTCATCCAAGCTGACCCGGTAAAGTGAATGCTATCTTCAGAAATCATGATCACCTGAAACTCGCATGAGCAAAAATATATGCATCGTGTGCCTTCAATGATACAAAGTGATGCTGCTCAAATAATTAATTAAGCAATTTGACCAGAGTCCTTAGCTGCTGCAACAATGCGACCATTCTGCTCGACGGCCACGGAATCCCTAAAGTATCTTCAGAAGAAACGAAGCTCCCACGTTCGTGGGTCCAAGTTTCTTGAGCCAAGAAGTGTCGACAGGGACAACAACCGAAAGGTAAAATCGGGAGATTGACCTGGCTTAGTATTGTCATTGCAACTTCACACTTAATGTTAAGCTCAGGGCGAAAGTGTGAAGGCTTCGCGGTGCGTCAATGAGGATTTTGTGCTAGCACTCAAGAGGTCGGTTGCCAATTTCTCAAGTGAAGCAAGTTAGGTGGGCACAGAGCAACTCCAGGGGGGGAAGACCCCCGTGTGACACGACCTGGATGGTGAACATGCGTTTGTCGTCATTGTCGCCAAAACTCGGAGAGTTCCAGCTCTCAGCGCTTGGACAACGGTGAATGAATTCCAAACATGCCTCCTTCTGAAGAAGCTCTGCACCGAAAGGCGTTGGTCCATGCACTGACTGGACCGAAATGTTCTGTTCCAGGCAGCTAGACATCCTCAAGCCAGGCAAACTTTAAGGATCTTTAATGTATTAAGCAGGCGGTTTCTAAATACAGCTCAATACCGGAGGCAAACAGGCATAAAACACAGATAACACCGAATTTGGTTTGAATGAGTATGGCATTTCTCCCATGAGTTGAGCTCCGAGAGAGTATTGTAAGATAAGTGCCACAGAAAATCAGAGCAAGTCTTTCTTCGCTCCATGCAAATCCAAGTCTTTGTAAAAGCAAAGGTCCTGAGGCTTAGCGTCTCAATTATACATAATTATATAGTTATATATATATATGTATAGTTATGTGGTATGATTCGACTATCAAACATATCCAACATATGTTCTCATAATAGTGACCTTCAATATATTTCCAAGAAACGCTTCAGTACCACGGTGGGCATTTCCCGAACAGTTATCGCAAAACATGTAGTTTGGTCAAAAATCCAATGCTTTGTCAAGCATAATAAAGCCGTATTTTGATGTACTTTGTGATGTTCATTGCATCATTCCATTTGATTCAATTTGCAGAGGTGCGAGGATCCTTGCCAGGTCAGTGAGAATTTATTTCACCGACGCCCATGTGCAACCACGTTCAGAAAGCACCCACACATTTACACCGTGAAAAATCGTTGAAAGAAGCACAACTTGCTCTTACGACTCTTCCATGCTTCGATTGATAGGTCGTTCTTTCGACGCTTGTTACACAATGAGCCCCCACCTGGAGCACGGGCCTTTGCTCGCCCGAACACCTGTGTGCAAATATCCAGGAGACATGCCGAGATTGAAAATGCGATTGCTAGTGCAAAAGCAAAGGGAAATTCATGAAAAGATATGAAAAGTATAGCAACTACTTCTTAGAGGGTAGACCTTGACTGATAATTCTGCGCACAGCATCTAGGAGGGTAGCTCTTCACATCTGTCACAGCTTCGCCGTGTAGAACTGCAATTATATATATATATGCACTTATATACACATACTGCATATATATATATATATACAGTATGTGCAGAAAGCTTGTTGAAACCCCCGTGATCAGATCTGGACTGCCAAATGTGGGTTGATGACTCTGGCAAGTCTTCTATGAACGCGGGGGGGTCCCTGAAAAGCAGATTATGTTCGAGCTAAACAACGCCTGCTGGCCTCAGAGGGAATATGTCGCGCCTTTGCATCACCAAGACGTAGCAGGGCATGATGAGCAACGCCATAATGGTGGTGACTGTCACAGACCTTGGTGCAAGTCATGATGCTCATCATCGGGAAAGTACAGCAGGCGTCCTCATCAATGAATATAATGAATCTTGATGAATCCAAAATGGGTTTTCAATGGGTTTCACGCGTAAGGTGGGAGTTTCTCAAAGATGTTACTCTTGCACCGACTTTCTTGCATAAGCACACCCTGTTCGGTTCGTGCCTATGTAAATTGACCTGTGGTTTCCTTCCTCGCGTCTCTGTGCCATAAAACGTGCGTCGCTGTAGCCTCAAAGGCCGCCCGACACCTTCGCACGATTCACGAAGAAGGCGATCGCCGAGGCCTGGCGCAATTGGCGCATCGGGCCAACTCCGGGCAGAGCGCTCGGGCCAGAGACTTCTATCAGACAAGAGCGCATTTCAACCTTTAGGAGAAGAGAGAGTGAGAGAGAGGCAAATGTACTCGAGGTGTCCGCGTGCGGCCTCTCTGACCAAACCCCCACTTCTTCCTGTCGACACCGAACACAGCAGAGTTCGTCTTCCGCCCAAGTTGGTCCAAGAGACCATGCACTGCTGGAAGGTGAAATTGGCGAAGGCCGCATCGATCTTCTGGGCGTGCGATTTCAAGGAGTTTGGTGTTCGAAAATGTGATTTCATTTCGTCTTAGGCGTGGGGTGGGGAAAATCAAATAAGTGTGGCCATCGTAGATATATAGAGAGAGAGGGTTGAATATGTACATGTGCATATTTCTTATGATATACAATTATATATATACATACCTTGCACCTTGTGGCACTGCAACTTTAATTTACTAAGGTTCTTACACGTCAAACCTTGCATGCTCCAGCACGGTTGGAGGGTTAAGAATCTGATCGTCTTTGTGCTGCACACCCCAAAATGAATGGTAGTTGAGAATAGGGAGCGGGGCTTGCCTCGAGAAGATGTCATCTCTGTGGAAAATTGCAGTGGTGACATCGCCAAGCAATGATCATTACTCTAGCAAGCAAAGATGCTCCAGGCATGATGTCTGAATCATGCCAAGTCTCTTTCCCACGGTAGAAATCCGCTAATGCTGCGCGATTCACCGACTCATAACCTGAGGAAGCAATTCAAACAGAAAGAGAAGTAGATTTCTCAAAGGGCACACGATTTGGAAAGGGAAGTAGAGTCTGGACAGAACAAATCTTGAAAGCTCAAGCTAGGTGAGAAAATCTTCAGTAACACCTGCCTTTGGATGCCTTCCGCGGGCACACCCAACCCGCCCCTGCCGGCCCTGCCCCTGACGCTAGGAGACTTCCTCGGCCAAAGCCCCAAAGGAGGTACGGCAGGAAGAGCCAGGCAGCCTCAAATCGAAAGATGTCAAAGACCAAAAGCAAGTGCCGGTGCCACTCAATTCGTTTCACTGACTACATATATACATCGCATCAAAGGTCTGTCTCAATCGGCTTATGCATGAGACAGACCAGGTACAATCAAATGGCAATAAAGCCTCTGTGTGTGTAGGTTGTCTTCAGACTGTTGACAAAATGTTGAGTTTTGCAGCATGCCAGGGATGCACTCTGGACTGGTACCAAGGAAGACGCCAGTGGGATCGATCTGTGAAATCGATCTGGGATGTGCTTCATCGACGTATCGGTTTCAGGGCTTGGAGCATTCACGTAGGTATACACCCATCTCTAGTGTGGTGTGTGTGTGTGTGTCTCCCTGGTATCCGGTTTGCATCATGTCACGTGACATATCTTTTTGGGCACCATCTTCAAGAACAACACCTAATTTGTGGATACGCTTCCGGAGGCCCACAGAAAGCAGCTAGAGTGTTTGCATCGTACTATCACAAGCAGCAGCAGCAGCAGCAAGAAAATGCTCATACTGCAACAGAATGCTGAATTACATTTATACCGACGGACTGAAAGATAGAATGCCCTGTCATTTCACCAACTCACGCTTAGAATGCCTGAAAATCCCAGGGTCCCCGGGCAAAATCTCCCCATCTTAGAATGCCTTCGCACAACCTACTTAGAATGCTTTTGGGGGGGGCATGTCTATCTTTCAGTCCGTCAAACACAGAGAACAGGTCAAACAGCTTGCAGAACACACATCCACACACACACACACAGCTTCCAAAGCTCTTTTCACCCTTTCCCGTTGATCGTCCTTTGATGTCCTTTGCAGAAATGGATTGGGGGAGGTTGTCTCCCATGTGAATTCTTCATTGTCATGGCCTACTGGGAAGGCAAAATTGAAATGACACCTCACTTTTTGCAAAGAAGATCTTATATACAGAACTATATGCACAACAGTACTTGGAATCTTAGAATGCCTTCCGGTTCATTTGCCTAAAAACTGTTGACCTTGCGAATTCAGGATAGAAACGCATGCGGAGTAAAAGGCCTGGGTTTGTCATACAATCACGGTAGACAAGAACCATCATCACGGTGGCAATTTCCTCATTGTATCCCAATCATACTCCCCTTCCATATATACACATGTACGTGTATATGTCCAGGCCTGCAGGAGATCAGGCCCCATCTCCCATCATTTGACGCCACAAGCTTGTTGCTTGGCGCTGACGTCCAAAAAACTTATAGGCAGGAAAACTATACCGCCCCACAACTTTGGCAAAAAAGAAACGTTTTCACAACCAAAGCAGCCCTTTAATGCTGCCCTGCCAACTTGCAACACCGAGTTTTCCTGCCTATTTAGAATGAAACCACGTGCTCAACCAACCGCATACCACTCAAAGATGGTCAAACGTCTACAAAATGTAATCTCAGCCTCACTATCTTCACTGCTCAAGTTCAAGCTGCCAAACAAATCCTTGGAGCGCGATCGGAACTTTGGCTTGAGTGGGGTTCATCCTGTGAAAAAAAACACAGAGCGGGTGGAACTAGCGCACCGCTTAGAATGCCTTTCCATGAGCCCAGAAGAGGTTTAGCAACAATACATGGTCACACATTGAGAGTTGTCTCCCAGAGTGTCTAATTTTGAGTCATGGTGTTTGTATAAATATATAGATAAATAAATGCCGCTGTTTTATGCCTTTCCTCTCGAGAACAAACACACCAAACAACCCAAAATATGTTGGCATTTGTTTGCCAAAGTTTCCAAAGAGTTTCTCTCGGAGATCCGTGCAAGACTGAGCTTTTTCTGCTGATCGCCAATGAAACCACGCAACCACTCAGCCGCTTCCACATCAAAGCCTGTCCAGCGTAAGCTGTGCATCCTTGACTTTTTCCAGCTGCCGTACCCTTGGAGCACCATGGGAGTTTTGCTTTATATGCACTATATATATATATAGAGTAGTATAGTGGGTGTACATTCCTTTGGAAAAGAACAGTGGATGAACGGCTTAGAATGCCTTTCACTGAGCTCAATGACTCAATGATTTATGTTCATGTATTGGCACTTGTCTACCAAAGCCTGTGGAAATTTGTCTCATGGGTCATAGGGTAATATATATATATATAGATGGTACGAATTCCTTTTGCATGAAAGAACAAGTGATGGAGAGCCAGTGGGTTGCTTAGAATGCCTTTCCTCCTAAGAACAAACACCCCAAGCTACCAAAGATATATTGGCAGCAATGCCCAAGTTTCCATAGAGTTTCTCGCGGAAATCTATCGATGTAGGCGGTGAGGATGCCCTTGATACACAGCAGAAGTGCTTCGGTTTCGGTTCTGCCGGTATTTCCAGACCACGAGAAGGATAGCCCACTGTGTACTCCTGGCGTGAATCCTTGCCACTGATTTGTAGTGGTGTGGCACCCCAAGCAGATTCCCGGCAATGCTGTCGGCAAATCAACTAGGCCTTTGGAGGCAAGCTTCACATATGAGGCTCTGTGCATGAAGGATTTGATGCGGGTGTGTCGGGGAGCAACCTTCTGAAGTTCCTCTTCATCGTCCGTGATTGCAAGGATGTCAATGGGATCCAAATCCAAATCTTCTGCCTCCGATGGACACTCATCACCAGTGGCATTCATCTCCTCCACAATCATGGCTTTTGCTTCTTGCTCTGAGGCATCTAGGAAGGCTTCTTCTTCTTCTTCAATCCTTCCACCCCTGTCATCCGCATCTTCCAAACATGTTGGAAGTACACCCTCCATGGCTGAATCTGGAAAGGCTTTTGACAAGCAGTCTGGAATGGCCACTCCTTCACAGGCTTGGCATCTTAGGGCCACCAGCTGCTTTACAGCCCCATCGCCAGCCCGCACCCTCAATTTGGAGACATCATCATTCAATTCCAAGGTCGCAATACAAAGATCTGACCGAATCTTCTTGAGCTCCGTGTGGTCTTTCACATAGGGCACGAGCGCCTGCTTGCTCTTCCTGAAAAGCAAAGGCCTTTCCTTGTTGTGTATTTCCCACTCATCAAACTTTTTCTGCATGTGGGGAGTCAGGGTGTTGTTCGGCCTTTTTGCAATTTTGATATTCCACTTCTCCTTGTCACTCTTCCATTTGAGCAACTGAACTGCCATTGGTGATGAAAGCCAATCCGGTAAGATCTGTCTGGTTTGAGGAAGGTTGACATCCTGAATTGCCCAAACGACCTGCTCTTCACCTGGAAGTGGTGTCATTCTCAAACTCTCCAGCTTCTCAAGGTGTGCGTTCTCGCTGATGACCGGAAGCTCCTCCAGCTGCAGCAAGTCACACAATGATGACCGATCCCGTCGATAAGCTTTGGATGCATTTTCAGTGACTCCTGGGCAAGGGATGACTTGTGTGCCACCAGTTGTGTTGTATATTATTATTGTATGTCTATATATATGTATAATATGCATGCTTGCCCTGCAAATAAACATGGCCCTTAGAATGCCTCAGCGCAACCACACCCCGCCTCCAAATCGCCACTCAGCAATCTCTTCCAGTGTACAATAGCCCCTCTGCACCCACGCGGACCACACCATCATGCCGTTCCTGCAGCGGGATTTATAGAGTTTTTAGTGGAAGTTCAGTGGACATCTATATAAATCAAATGGGCTTTGAGGGTCGAAAATGAAGCTTCTTGATTGGTCCACCGTTAGAATGCATGACATTGCTGTTGCAAACAAGCCGCTCCCAATCATTCAAACACTTCAGCGCGTACGCATCTGCTCTCAAGGCCATGCTCATAGTTGACCTTTTCATGTCAGTGAGCAATAGGAAAGCGTTCTAAGTGCATACTTGAGTTTGAGTTGAGGGTATATTTTAAAATCTTTTAGATTCTATACGTAGTCTATAATATATGTACTTCAGGATTATGATATATCAATGCAAAAGAAAAGGAAAAGAAGTACACTCACTGTAAGCTGCCCGGCAACTTGGTGGACACACTGGTCTGCACACCGAGCTGGAGCTGGTCCAATCGAAGCCGCAGATCTAGGTTGCTCTGCCAGTTTATGCTGCATCGCATGTACGCGTGCGTGAACAAATGCAAGAACTGGTGAAACCCGTCGTTGGGTTGGCCAGCTGCGCCAAAGCCGCCTGGCACGCGACCAGCGTCTTCAGGACTGTCGCCTGATAGGAGCACCTAAGGTTGCTTTCCCACTTTCCCCTGTGGTACTGTATGTATCGTTGATCTGTCTCTGTGTCTCCAAGGGGTGACGACAAAGAACACATGTGTATACATATATACATATACATATGTATGGACATGTATATATATATATATATATTTGTATTGGGAAACATAGAAAAGTGATGGAAACAGAGATGGGAGGAAAGAGGGAATGGAGGACACTGAATAGCAGGCGGAGCACTACATTGTGCTGCTCGCACCAAGCATCCTTGAGCATTTTGAACTTCTGGGAGCTGTGCTGACAAGCTGTATCGCACAGGATCAAGCAGCGATCATCCAGAGAAAGATTGAGCTGCTTTCTGCGCTGCCTGATTTCTCCTTCTAAGAACTTGAGGTATGTCAGGAACGTCTCTGCGCTCCAGATGTGTGTCTTAGAATGAAGAGGAGCTACGTAGACCCATTCTGATAGCTCCTGCAACCCAGCAATGGAATCGCGTGAAATATATATATATACATTTCCGCTTGGGAATAGAGTAACTGAAAACCAATGTCAGAGTGTGCACACTTCTGTGACACAAGATTGCAAGAACATGTTTGCAATGAACATCATGTAGCCTCCTCCCTATAATGTAGAATTGCACTTATCTGAATGATAGAGCACTATTGATCAACAGGAAAGCATTCTAAGTGATTCATAGGGCAATGGAAAGCACAGGTGGTACCTGCCTTGTTCATTGCAGCCCTCTCTGTCTCAGTGAGTGTTTCTGACCTGCACGTCGCAAATCCTCTGCCTACGCTTCCGTCCAGCCAGGATAGCGTCGTCAAGGTATGAGGTACTCGCCAGGCGTCG